GTTCCGTGCAAAGACGAATTGATGAGCGATTTGAGTTCTTTCAGTCTTTTTTCCTGTTTCTCGTACTCCTTAATCATTTCTTTTTTCTTCTGCACATGCATCTTTTTGAACATGGAATAATTCCCTTTGTAATAGTACAATTTTTTATTATCTAAATGAATAATTTCGTTACAAACATTGTCTAAGAAAGATTGATCGTGAGAAACTATTAGCAGAGTTTTCTTCCATCCCTGGAGGTAGCTGAAAAATAATGGAAACATCACTTTTGTAACTTCTAATGCTGTTCATTATTATCATTTTATAACCTTTCGGAATTGGGTTTCTTAAAGAGATTAAAGAAATGTTATGAAACTTATTTCAACTTCTCCGTTTTGATATGAAAAAATAGAATAGAAAAGAATATGTTTATTTCATCACAATAACTACAAAATGTACAATAGTGACAAGTCAAACTGACAAACAAGATTAACAATAATTAAACAATAGTTGTTGCATACACGCTGATTACATGTAAAACAATTATTATGGAAATAAAAAAGACATGTAACATATTAAAATATCAATGTCTCACAATTCAAATATTCGTCGATGGAGTAGAAACAGTCTCTTAATAGCGAGTGTTTAACTCTAGCCTTGAAACGGTTATAACTCAGACCGGTAATGTCTGTTGGTATTTTATTGTATAAATGTTCCCAGATTTTTTATGATAGGAACGGGGACATGTATATATGTAAAAGCAACCTTATACTTGATTAATATGTAGAGGATAGTTAGAGACCATAAATTCAACAAAATTAACATAGTTAGTCCTTGAGCAAAGATATTCATAACTAGCAGTTGTCCTTGACATCATTTGTAAGGACTTTAGTTCTTTTTCTCAGAACAGCAAAATGTTGACAAAACTTTGATTCATAATAAAATCGTTCTACAAACCAAACCAAAGTTTATTGCCAAAGCAACTGAGTTAGCTTCTCTTTTTCCATCATAAATCCTAATAATTCGTATTTGGTGATGTTGAAAATACCACCCCCCAATATAAATTGGGTTGAGGATCATAATTGGCAAAAATCATTAACCATTTCAAATTTCCACAAAAAATCGTGATAAGCGATACCAAAGCTTGTTGTCTATATCTATATTATTTATAACCTTTATTGCATTAAAATGATTCTAAAAATTCGACCAAAATTTATACCATCAGGTGGAAACCAGCTTGATTGTTTATTAATTTGTGATCAATTGAAAATTGTTGCTTTGGTAATATCTCTCACCTCTTTCCATGAAAGGAATAAAATATTACTGATTAGCTTATAACTTTCATCCATATCTTCAACTGATAATAAAACCTCTTCTAATTCATTTATTGGGTGAGCTCAAATCCGTCAAATCCCATACTTGAACACTTATCATCTTTGTTGTATCAAACTTTAAAAACGAAATGAATTTTTCAGTATACTTTGTTGTAATGTATTCATCAGAGTATTATTTGATGAAATTATTTTTCAACACTTTGAAGGGGCTTGAGAAGAATGGTGCTCAGTAGCAAAAAACACTTCAAAGCCATTCCTGACTACACCTATCTAAAAATTAAGATTTGGAAATACATTTTCAGTTTATGTTATCATCATAAGTTCTAAATTTTTAAAACAAATATATTAAAAAGATACTCACTTATCCAACCAAATTACCGCATTCAAGTCCAANATTTTAATGCGGTTTCCTTTCAAGTTGGTTTCAATTGCCCAGGTTACTTTGCTTGGATAGAAAAAAATCCGGGCAAGGACAATATGCTAAAGCAGAATATGTTTAAACCAGATTCACACAGATTTCAGAAATGGAATTGTTTTTCATTTTATCCTGTATCTCCAGAAAGAAATTGCCGGGCAAGTATTTTTCAACCATAATGAAAACTTACCTAATTAAACGTTCGTCGTGAGATACAATTATAACACCTCCTGTATATTCATTGATTGCTTCTGCCAGTGCATCTATAGATTCGATATCCAAGTTATTCGTAGGTTCATCCTGAAAATATGAAAGGTTTTAGTGTGTGAATTCTTACAAGGTGTTTGATGAATTTTCAATGTACGAAACTATTTTTTGCAGGATAGTCTGACAGCCAGTGGATGACAGACATCATATTTCAGAAAACCTCAATTTTTTTTTCAATGAGACCCATCTTGTATCTACTGTATACGAGATGAGGACTCACTAAACTCGACAAAAAAAAACTTGTGGCATCTTTAAGCATGTAATGACTTTCTTTGTATATGTTTCTTTACCAGTCTGACATAATTCTGTAACTGTATGTAATGCATTTGCTGAATTTTCAAGGATGTATGAAATTCTATTCAATTTTGCTAATAGAGACATAACTGATAACAAAAAATCAATGCTAATAATTTCTTCAAGTATTTTAAGAAATGGAAAATAGTGAGGAAATCATCGAACAGAGACTGAAAAATAATAAAGCCGCCAGCAAAATGGCATATGAAATTACACCTGTATTGAGTTTTTCCATAAATGAATCTATGAAAGATGGTAACTTTCCAAACTTTCCAAAGATCTAATATGTATAACACTTCCAAAATACATATCATTAATATATATGATGGAATTGGCTGATACTTGATGAAAATCTATAACTAACGTTTTCAAATAAATTTCACAATAAAGTGTTTTTTGAGTACGTTAATAACATTAATTTTTAAAATTAGCAACAAATTAGATATGTGAAAATATCGCCCAGTTTCTTTGAAATCCAGCATTTCCAAGGTTTTCAAGAAAATTATACAGAAAAGTAGGATGTAATTTTTTCATGAAATATGGAATATTGTCAAAAAACCAATTTGGATTCAAGAACAATTGCTTGAACTATTGCCAGGTTGATAAAAATAAACTTTTCCATTAATAAAAACACAATCATCCATATGTGTATTTGGTGACTTATAAAAAAAAGTTTGATACCGTAGACCAGCCTAGAGATTCATGGATCCACTCTTGATCTTATGAATAGTTATCTTCAAATAGGACGCAATATGTCTCCATGGACTGAATAGTGAGTGATACAGAATCAACAGCACTTAGAGTGACACATGAAACAGTCATAGAACCTAGACTTCCATTACAGTTTTCAAATCAATCATTCAACCACATTTCGATTACTGCGCTAATTTACTATCACAACTTGATGCAAATTGTTTGTCTACATTGCAAAAACTAGAGAATAGAGGCATGCACCTAATTTTAAGATGTAATAGATACACGCCAACTACAACAATGTTGGATTGGCATTCTGTGAAAGTCCGCTTGTTCTATTTTACCATGGTATTCATCTTCAAAATATTGTCTGGTAATGCACCCTCATATTTTGACAAATTTATTGTTTTCCATCACCAAATTCATAATTAC